GAAATGTATTTTTTAAATGAGAGTTGAAGGAGCAGAATGCGATACTTCATTTTAAATTAAGGTAGATTATTGTTTTTAATTAATTTTAAGTGCAGTGCTTATTCTTGCTGTAGTAAGGGAATGATTAATTGACGAAATCTTCTGAATTCGTCCTGTTAGCTTTTTCAGAGTTTAACTGTCATTGCTCGTGTCTGTGGATGTCTAGCTCAGATTTTATCCACTGTATTATTCCAAAAAAATAAGTCAGGACAGAATATAAAATTGCTGTCGCTCTTTTGGTGCATTGCTTCTGCAGTCTTCCATTTACCCCTTTAACTAGCTTGTTTAAATCCTAGGTATTTATAAACTTCACCGTTATGCATTTCCTATGAACGATATCCAAATTTAGCAGCTGCTTATCTCCATTTATAACTGTCCCTTTCTCGATGTGTAGGGTTTGACATTTGGAAAGTCCAAGCTTCTTATGAATGTAACAAGAAAATATCTGTATTATGTATGCTGTTTTCTTCAGTGCATCGGTAAATTTTATTGGTGATATGATCTATAAAGATTTTGTATAAAATTGGCAAGCACGTGATTAGTCTGTACTGAGGGGGGTCATCCATCTAAGGACTATTTTGTGAGAAACGCTGAAATATTATAATTGTTGCGCTAATAATTTGTGCCAACGAATCGTTTTTTATACCAGACGTTTTGGAGTTTGTCAACCCACAGTGGTTTCCAACCATTTAAATGTTGAATAATTTCACTGATTTCCTGTAGCTTGATGTCATCAGGTGGGTTCCTTCTCTTATTATCTGCTGTCTGCTACATATCCTTTCTTATAGCTAGATAGCGTTTTTAGCTTTTAGCTTTTCTTTCAGTGTTTTTTGATGGTTTTTATTATTTTATTAGCGATACAGCGATACAGCGTCGTTTAAATGAAAAAAAAAGTTGCGCATGTGTATGCCAAAAAATAAGGGCGCTTTGTTTTGTTATAAATCGATACACTTACGTGGATACAGGGTGAGAAAGAAAAATGAAAATTTTTGGAAGACCACGATATTTTCCTTAGCTGAAATGTTAAAATTTTGAGGATATGAGTAACATGACATGACTGTCAGAATTGACAAACGTCAAAATTCAAAGCGTGGGAAATATCTCCGAAAACATCCGATTGCTCCCAAACCCGTCCGGTAAAATTCCGGAAATGTCCGAAGTGGCTCGGATTCGTGGGAAACGAAACTGAAGTGGTAAACCGACGCTTCCCGCAAGCTAGACCCAGACAGAGTACTTCTTCTCAAGGTATACAGTACGTCCTGTAAAGCAGTGTTGAGAAGTAACGGCTTGCAGTTTCTCGCGTCACAATAGTCATTTGGATCGCGAGTCTTCGCTAGGAGCTCGATTCTTTGTCTTCAATTTTATCGACTACCTTGCACTCTTTATTTAAATGTGTTTTACAATTAAATAGCAATATCAAAGCCTACTATCCTGAAATCTTATTCTTGTTACTTTTCCGAATTTATCTTGACCAACATAAAGCAAGCCAGACGATAGGTCCCATATAGTAAGCAAAATATTTTAGTTTTTCAAAAACTGACATTAATTTATTTATTGCTATTGCCCTCAGTGGCGCAGCAATTTCAATTTTTAGAATTTTATGTAATGTTCCTATATTTAAAACAATGGTGACATCTCAAAAATTAATTCAAGAATGCCACGACAAAAAACATTGCTTTTCTGTTAGTTTAATTTCTACAACTCTAAAAATATGAAAAGTATCAATTCACAAAATTCTTGTTGGCCTGTGTTATTGACAGGACTGCCGAAACTATATTAATATACCTATAATAGAATTTTATTGACATCAAAATCATAAAACTCGATGCCGAGTGCCGGGGGTCGAATGTAAATCTAGTTAACCTGGGGTTAATCCAGCGGATTCAGATATATGTGATAGACAACTAAGTCGGGTTTGGCCCCCGGAGGCCTGCCGCAGATCATAAGGCAAATTAATAGTCCCAATTGCATTTAGTGCGAAGTTCTGAGTTCTTGTTAATGCCGACTCAAGCAATAGGATCTCGTGTATCCCTTTGTAATTCCGACGTTGTACCGGCGTAGAATGGAACTAAATATAACGAACTCAATTCGGGAAACAGACTAAGCGTGGAAAAACTTAGTTTTATGGTGAGACTGAATCGCGGACGTACAAAATGAAAAAAGTCTGCACGTTAATGTTGATGGTAACTGCTTTCGTTTATTATTATTGCCCCTCTTAAAGATTGTTCGATCGTCAAGTTTATTTAGGCGAGAGGAGTCTTAATTCGTAGCCCCATCTGATGATTGTTTTTTTTTTTTGGAGCGATATGAACATGAAAATTGTAATTCGAAGGAAGGTTTCCTCTTTAACCACCCTAGATAAGACTGAAAAATAAAAATAACCTCCAAAGATTTGGTTGATTTTTAACTTTTCACTCAAGCCTGTCCCAACGCAACTAACCAAAACCAACCAACGCATGGAGAGATAGAACGATAACCTTCTTACTTATAAAGTGCAATTTTAAAGTTGTTTTAATGTTTCTGGTGGAAAGAATGCGTGGGCTACCAATGTGGGTTCAGAACAAAAAGGTCAACCATAGGCAAGATTTTCTCAATGAAACAAATTATGGAAAAATACTGGGAATTCGACAGGGAACTACATCAAATATTAAATGAGCCTTTCGAACTACTCCGATCCCTTCAACATTAACAATGAGCTCAAGCAGAGTCAATTCAACTTAGCATTAGGATACACAATTGGAAAAGCTCAGATTGAGAAACCAACTGTTATATTCCATTTTCCAACTTACTCCTGGCATTCGCAGATGATGTGGAAATGATTAGCAATAGCAGAATTAACCTGAAAGACACTCTTCTAAGGTTCAAAAAAGAAGCGGAACATAGGCCTTAAAAGAAATGAAGAAAAGACCAAATAAATGTATCTCGATAGAGTGAATGCTATAAAGATAGGATAGGACAAACGCAAAACAATTCAAATACTTGGGCCCTAGACTTATGGAACACAATGACATCATAGAAGAAGTAAACAATAGGATTCAAGCTGCGCTTCACGGTTTAATGAAATTAAATGAAACTTACCAAAATAAAACTAAAAATAGAAAGCTATCTATCATAAAACTTATATTAATATACCAGGAACTGTATACAGATGGTAATGTAATAAACGAAGTAACGGTTAGAAGACTACATTGGGCAGATAAGGTAAAAAGAATGCCAGACAGCAGAATGACAATGAAGGGGTGCCTCACAAGTCCTTTAGGTCCATTACGTCATGGCTAAAGAATTAATATCGAAGAAGACCTAGGTGGCATGAATATTCAAGAAGGCTTAGCTAGATGGACGCATGTGATAAGAGTCGGCAAAAACCCATCAGGGTTTTGAAGCCCTGGAGAGTGAATGTTAACGATATAATGAACTACAGACCTATCTCTATCTTGTCGGCATTGGCAAATACCTTTGAGACGTCTATTTATCGTAAGGGACAAGTAAAACACAGTATTAATCAGAAATAGAACGGGTTCTTTACCAGTCGCAGTGTTTTACTCATAACATCGCTCAGGTTCTAAATAATCCAGCCCAAGTCGATGTACTCTATAGCGCCTTCTTGAAGGCATTTGATAAAGTGAACCATGGTATTTTCCTGAGGAAAATTGAAGCTTTGAAATTCCGCAAGACGTTATGTTCTTTTGTTTATTCACGGCATAATTGAGAACATATCAAACTGTACTCGGTTGTTTGCTGATGATCTAAAGCTGTTTAGGTTTGCATTGAGCTTAAAAAAAACTCGAGGTAGGTTTGTGACTGGTGTGTCGTTTACAACCTTAGGTTAAATCGAGATTTCTTCATGACTTTCTCGAACACTCTCCAATTATGATGTGAAGAGGACTCCTGTTATCTTTCAAGGACCTTGGCATTTTGTATGACTCTAAACTTTCTTTTACGGCCCACACTGAGTATGCGTGTAAAGATGTAATTAATGAAGACATTGTAATTTATTTGGAGTAACACCAAAGAATTTATTAATACAATACAATGTGATAATTTGCAACCCGATTAACGTTAAATCTATAGAGTTACTGGAGGATATATATGGAACATTAAGCTTAAGTGTTACTGAGCGGTCAAGATTTACTGCATCTTTCCTAAATGTTTAAGAAATTATTTAGCAGTCATTTTCCTATCATAAGGTCGGCGCCATTAATTCAATTACATTTACTGCAACCCCTACCACCTTTCTCTTAGAAACCACAATATATAATAAACTATACATTTTTAATACCAATTGTAATATACCCATTTTTATACATTTTCATATTTAACCTCTTGTGGAAGAATATTTAATCAAATTTTTTGTAACTATCGTTGTCTGTCCACTTATCAGATTGTTGACCATTTTTTTTTAAAACTAGAACTTTTTGCTGTGCAGATTTGAGTCTTATATCAATTGGAACACGCCCACACACGCACTTCTAACGCACAAGTCAATGATCAAGTCAGGTATTATTCCTTTGTAAAACATACATTTGCTATCGATTTTCTGAACAGAAAATAGCGTCCGTTTTTTTGAATTAAACTTGCTGACGTTTCAGCAAGTTTGATTCAACAAAAACGGACGCAGGAGGAATCCAGAAGTTCTGTGAAAAGTATTACAGCACCCTGTGGAAGTTCCTTTGAAAAATGATTACCTATTGTTGCCAAAATTTAAACAAAAACTTGAGGCAAATCAAAAAAATTTAGTGTAAACTGCATTTTAATGGTTCTTTTACGAATTTCAAACTGTCAAAATCTAGGTAAACAAATAAACTCAAGCATTAGCCTTAAAGAAATTCATGGATTTGATTTGGAATGATATATTTAAAAACATTCCCATTAGCACCAAAAAAATTAACAGAAATTCGATAATAAAAAAGAAATAACGTATCACATACTTTGGCAAATTTTGGGGAATACTCTGGACTTACCAGCAACAGTTAACGTAGCGTTTCTGCTCTTGGCTTTGCCAAGGGCGTTGCTGGCTTCGCACCAGTAAACGCCAGCGTCTGATTCTTTTCGGCTTTGCACCACTTTCAAGAAGAAAAGATTCCCAGCCGGCAACAGAACTCGATGAGATCTCGCGTCTTGTGGAGCTGTTCGTAGAATTGAGGCATCTTTGTACCTGAAAACGAAAAACTTCATAAGTTTCGCTAGCTTATCTTAATTAGAAGCTACTAGGCATAAAGTTTAACACTAAAGGTATTACCGAAGCAATGGTTGCTATCAACCTGCGACGTCATCCCAAAAAAGCCTGATACAAAACAATGCATAGACCACTGAACTATTAATCTCATTATCAATACTTTTAAAGGTGATACATGACAGAATGGAGCAAACATATAACAAGATACGATCAGAGCTCTGCATCTGCTTTATTGATTACAACAAAGATTCCGACAACGTACCACACGAACTTCTCGTTGCCTCCAGGAAAAAAGGTACATTTTTTTTGTATATAATTGAAAGGTACTACTCACGATAGAAGGTCCAAGCGCAAAATTCTTCTTGGATTTAGCACTGAAGATTGCCTAGTCTACATAGTTGATGTGACCATTTGGCTCAATATATTCTTCAAAAGAAGCCATAACTTCGTATCATTTAACTGCCTTCATAAGTTGTTTCATTTGTAACTGTTCTCAACTTGATTCATCGAACACGTACAGGTTTTCGATGATAATACTTAGGACATGTAACGAGGGGAGATAAGTCTCCCTTATTGCAACTCATAATATATAAAAGAAAGGAAAAAAGCGAACATTAGGCATCATTCCTGGTAGACAAATCTCCAACCAAGAGAACCAAAAATTAGACAATTCAATTTGCAAAACTAGAGCTAGACTGAGACAATAATGAAATCTATATTGACTAGGCTCTTGTTGGGGAAAGCATAGCTTCACTGAATTATTATAAAAATAATACTGCAATGAAATACTCGTTCAGAGCTACATCATAACTTATGAATGGCGGCAAGTTAGTATTGTATCGATCCTCCCCCACAGGTTCCAGTTTTTAGCTAATATTTTATCAAATATAATTATGCTTAACGATATTTACATATCTTCTGGATTCCTCCTCTTCTGGATTATCATGAATCCCACTTACTGACGTTTTGTGAATTCTGCCCTGTTGCCATCTTCAGAGCTTAACTGAACAAAACCTAAGTGAATAGTTTCACCCTAGCCTATGGCAACTTTGTCGAAAGTTGCTTAATGATGTAGGAAACGAAATGATATAAATGATAAACTATAGAGTTTATTTAAGGTTTCGACAAAAGGAAAATATTTAGCTCTTACCATGTTATGGTTGGTTCCGGTTCACCTTGAGCCTGACAGTTTAGTGTGGCGGGTTCATGTCTTGCTACCGTTGTGTCTACCGGGTGTTCTGTAATCCTGGGTGGTTGTTGGCTGGTGTGATGGTAAGCTGTAAAGAAAAGGCAGTTTCAATAAATTGTATATATTTTGGAGGGAGGTCAATTTAAGCACGGTTTTAATGTATCCACTAATACAGTCTAACAATTGCAATAACAGTCATACCTAAAAGTGGTTACAACATTAGGCAATCTGTTTCTAAAGCTATGAATACTTTGAAATTTTAATTTCCGTGTGACGGTCGTCAATATAATTTAAAATCCCATTAGGAGTAATGGGCTTTTCAGAATCAGTATGGATTTCAGTCCCTTAGCTCTTAATACACATTTGTTCAGATAAAAGCATTATACTGTTACTTAATGGCAGCAAATGTCAATTCCGCTTTGACATTTGTAAAGTATAACCAAGACATTGCTGAAATTCTGAGCATTCAGCATTTAGGCAATCCGGAAGTCTAATCTTTCGTTTTGGTGATTTGCGCTGACCGCCAAGATCGTCCAATTTTACCGTTTACTGTTGTTAACTCAGACCATATAGCTACAAGATAATATAGTGGCCCTACTACCGTAAAAAGTGATACGCCGCAGGTGGCTATGATATTCTCGTAGAGAAGGTGTGCGTGTCTGTTGCGCGTGCGTCAACCCCAAATAACTAAGTTGCTATATTGCCGTAATTTTTCTGAAATCCGAATATAATTGGCAACGTCGAGTTAGAAATTGCTATTACCAAAGAATACTAACAGTCTGTGCCATTGTTTACATTTTTGGTGGTTATGATCCTTTGCCTATATACGGGTAAGTGTTGCCTTAAGTATTAGTAAATATAAAAGATTTAAAAGATGTTTCTATAGGACTCCCAGTGACAAACTTGTATAATTTGTGATTTCAATACTTGCTCCTTCTCAAAATTACAAGTGTGGCAAACCCGAGTGATTTAACAAACTGTAAGAGACACTTAAATAGCTACATAGATAAGATGTTTGGATATGTTTTAGTGTACAAGAATTACAGGAAATATAAGAAAACAATTAAGCCTCAAGTTTTACTAGAACAATCACAAAAAATACTCTTTGACAATTACAAACCTTGTAAACCTCACTTTGGGAAAGTTTTCTTTGTCATCATGCTTAGTGAAAACAAAATTGCCTTTCGGTTGGTCAAAAACCACAGAAATTTTTATCGCAGAAAGTAGCGAATTACCAGAATCAGTTCAGCAGCAACAGGAAGACTTTAAAGACTTTAAAATTTTTGAGAATTGAAAATTTCGGGGTACTTCATTTCTAAATCACCTACCTTCTTAGGGAGGTAAGTGAATACTATTAATAAATACTGATTTTGCAAATCTGCTTGTTGGATTCGGGACAACTTGAGTAGGTAAAATATTATATGCACAACTTTGGAAGAAGAGATCTTGATTTGTCTCCGACTATTTTCCCAACCCTTGCTTAGCTCAGAGTAAACTATGTCCTTGACTCGTAAGTACCACCTACCTCCCTTATTTGAATAACTATTTAGTACAAGTTTTTGGACAAGTTATGGAACTGATGATATGAACAATTAAGCCTCAAGTTTTACTAGAACAATCACAAAAAATACTCTTTGACAATTACAAACCTTGTAAACCTCACTGTGGGAAAGTTTTCTTTGTCATCATGCTTAGTGAAAACAAAATTGCCTTTCGGTTGGTCAAAAACCACAGAAATTTTTACCGCAGAAAGTAGCGAATTACCAGAATCAGTTCAGCAGCAACAGGAAGACTTTAAAGACTTTAAAATTTTTGAGAATTGAAAATTTCGGGGTACTTCATTTGTAAATCACCTACCTTCTTAGGGAGGTAAGTGAATACTATTAATAAATACTGATTTTGCAAATCTGCTTGTTGGATTCGGGACAACTTGAGTAGGTAAAATATTATATGCACAACTTTGGAAGAAGAGATCTTGATTTGTCTCCGACTATTTTCCCAACCCTTGCTTAGCTCAGAGTAAACTATGTTCTTGACTCGTAAGTACCACCTACCTCCCTTATTTGAATAACTATTTAGTACAAGTTTTTGGACAAGTTATGGAACTGATGATATGAACAATTAAGCCTCAAGTTTTACTAGAACAATCACAAAAAATACTCTTTGACAATTACAAACCTTGTAAACCTCACTGTGGGAAAGTTTTCTTTGTCATCATGCTTAGTGAAAACAAAATTGCCTTTCGGTTGGTCAAAAACCACAGAAATTTTTACCGCAGAAAGTAGCGAATTACCAGAATCAGTTCAGCAGCAACAGGAAGACTTTAAAGACTTTAAAATTTTTGAGAATTGAAAATTTCGGGGTACTTCATTTGTAAATCACCTACCTTCTTAGGGAGGTAAGTGAATACTATTAATAAATACTGATTTTGCAAATCTGCTTGTTGGATTCGGGACAACTTGAGTAGGTAAAATATTATATGCACAACTTTGGAAGAAGAGATCTTGATTTGTCTCCGACTATTTTCCCAACCCTTGCTTAGCTCAGAGTAAACTATGTCCTTGACTCGTAAGTACCACCTACCTCCCTTATTTGAATAACTATTTAGTACAAGTTTTTGGACAAGTTATGGAACTGATGATATGAACAATTAAGCCTCAAGTTTTACTAGAACAATCACAAAAAATACTCTTTGACAATTACAAACCTTGTAAACCTCACTGTGGGAAAGTTTTCTTTGTCATCATGCTTAGTGAAAACAAAATTGCCTTTCGGTTGGTCAAAAACCACAGAAATTTTTACCGCAGAAAGTAGCGAATTACCAGAATCAGTTCAGCAGCAACAGGAAGACTTTAAAGACTTTAAAATTTTTGAGAATTGAAAATTTCGGGGTACTTCATTTGTAAATCACCTACCTTCTTAGGGAGGTAAGTGAATACTATTAATAAATACTGATTTTGCAAATCTGCTTGTTGGATTTGGGACAACTTGAGTAGGTAAAATATTATATGCACAACTTTGGAAGAAGAGATCTTGATTTGTCTCCGACTATTTTCCCAACCCTTGCTTAGCTCAGAGTAAACTATGTTCTTGACTCGTAAGTACCACCTACCTCCCTTATTTGAATAACTATTTAGTACAAGTTTTTGGACAAGTTATGGAACTGATGATATGAACAATTAAGCCTCAAGTTTTACTAGAACAATCACAAAAAATACTCTTTGACAATTACAAACCTTGTAAACCTCACTGTGGGAAAGTTTTCTTTGTCATCATGCTTAGTGAAAACAAAATTGCCTTTCGGTTGGTCAAAAACCACAGAAATTTTTACCGCAGAAAGTAGCGAATTACCAGAATCAGTTCAGCAGCAACAGGAAGACTTTAAAGACTTTCAAATTTTTGAGAATTGAAAATTTCGGGGTACTTCATTTGTAAATCACCTACCTTCTTAGGGAGGTAAGTGAATACTATTAATAAATACTGATTTTGCAAATCTGCTTGTTGGATTCGGGACAACTTGAGTAGGTAAAATATTATATGCACAACTTTGGAAGAAGAGATCTTGATTTGTCTCCGACTATTTTCCCAACCCTTGCTTAGCTCAGAGTAAACTATGTCCTTGACTTGTAAGTACCACCTACCTCCCTTGTTTGAATAACTATTTAGTACAAGTTTTTGGACAAGTTATGGAACTGATCCCTGTTATTTATCCCATTTTTTTTTGTAGACTTGCATATATGTCTGTTTCCAAGGTTTGATATAATAATTACATATTTACCAAAAGATGAAATTGTAAGGAAACCATGGATAACATTACTTGGATCTGCCAGGGAGGCTGATAGCTTAGAATAGCATCCATATGTGAGGGTTACATCACATCAACTGATCCCTGTTATTTATCCCATTTTTTTTTGTAGACTTGCATATATGTCTGTTTCCAAGTTTTGATATAATAATTACATATTTACCAAAAGATGAAATTGTAAGGAAACCATGGATAACATTACTTGGATCTGCCAGGGAGGCTGATAGCTTAGAATAGCATCCATATGTGAGGGTTACATCACTTCTTTAAGCTATAGGAGAGGTGGTAAGCACTTGATAAAGTAGGCAGTGCAGTAGTGCAGTGTCTTTTAGGTAGATATTGTGATCAGTTGTAAATCGGGTTACTTGTTTTTTGGTCATTCTATATGCCGATGGCACTAAACAGCCCATATTTAGCGAGCCAAATGGTACCTTTTTTTCTAACCCGAGTGACAAAATTTATCAAATAATTCTATGTTCTCCAAAAATATTATTTTGTTGGTAATATGTTACCAACTGTTTTTCGGTCTGAAGTATTGATATTTTTTCTGTATAATTTGTGACAGAATCATCAATCAATCATCTTGAACATAAGAGAAATTTTTGTTTATAGGGATGCATTTTTGGGCTTTATTTCCAACAAGTCAAAATAATAATTTGTGTCCTAGGTAAAACAACATTACAACTTAGAAACTTGGAACAGAATAACCAGCGGTCATCAGTTTTTAAAATGAACTTAAGGCACAGTAACATATTGTCAACAAGTAAAGTGCTTAATGAAATTTTTGCTTTAGTTATTCTACTAATAATTAACAATAGTTTAATGTATTATAAATGAACATATCTTTTATTGCTTTCATTTTCTTTTTTGCAATTTTTAAAGGTGGTGGTTCTCTCAAATCAACTAATATAAAAGTTCCTCGAAAAGAGAAACCCTGAGGCATCTTATGTCAGACGACACTGTGCAAGTAAAAAATAAATATTATTATGCTATTAAAAAATGCAGTATTTAATTTCTTATTGCATTTATAAACAATGTATTTTGTTCTTTTTAGGCCTTATTAAATAATTCATGTATTTATTGATTTATATGCGTGCCACTATATCTTCTGTGAACTTCAAAATGAATTAATAAAACACTATACAAAATATAATTATAATTAAAGTGGCATAAGCATCACTCTTGTCTACAAAACCAGACTGGAGTGTGCATCTGGAAAAAGACACTTTTAAAAAATCCTGAGCATTTCTGGAAAAGTAATTTTTGGTTATTTACATTAGAAT